CTCTCTCTCTCTCTCTCTCTCTCTCTCTCTCTCTCTCTCTCTATCTCTGTCTCTCTCTCTCTGTCTCTCTCTCTGTCTCTCTCTCTCTCTCTCTCTCTCTCTCTCTCTCTCTCTCTCTCTCTCTGTCTCTCTCTCTGTCTCTCTCTCTGTCTCTCTCTCTGTCTCTCTCTCTGTCTCTCTCTCTCTCTCTCTCTCTCTCTCTCTCTCTCTCTCTCTCTCTCTCTCTCTCTCTCTCTCTCTCTCTCTCTCTCTCTCTCTCTCTCTCTCTCTCTCTCTCTCTCTCTCTCTCTCTCTCTCTCGTCTCTCTCTCTCTCTCTCTCTCTCTCTCACACACACACACACACACACACATATACTTGCAAGCTCCAAATGCCCTTGCCAGGACTCGAACCTCCGCCCACGTGATACAAAACCGAGTACAATACCAATATACCACACATGAGGCCAACAATTCGAGCCTCCTAGAGCTTAGATGACTGGAATGTTTATATCCAGAGACGTATGGATGACAATTCAACCCCCTGGAGTATACTGCCAGAGAGATATACCCCCTGGAGTATACTGCCGGGGAGGTATACCCCCTGGAGGACATAAAGCTGGTGCTGGGGGTCGAGGGAGAGCACTAGGCCAGCATGTTGTCAATACATCAACACCAGAAACCACTCTCCTTGACCTGAAACACACCAGGCGAGCAACTTACAGAAATGTGTCGGCAATGTATTATTTTTTCAGTGTGAAATGTATACTATGTATATATATACACAGATACTTGTATACATGTATGTGTGAGAGAGAAATATATGTAGCAGATATAAGAGAAAATTACGTCGGGAATCAGTAGATTAGACAACCGACGGTTAGAAAGGCGGGGTCCAGGAGCTAACTGCTTAATCCACCAGACACAAAGAGCAAACAAACAGACACACACACGCGCTTAGCATGAAAGGAAGACAAACTCTGAGATAACAGATATTAATGGCTCTCGAGCAGACTTACAAGCATCACTAAATAAGAGAAATGACTCCTTGAGATATCTTGAGGTTATCTTGAGATGATTTCGGGGCTTTAGTGTCCCCGCGGCCCGGTCCTCGACCAGGCCTCCACCCCCAGGAAGCAGCCCGTGACAGCTGACTAACACCCAGGTACCTATTTTACTGCTAGGTAACAGGGGCATAGGGTGGTTATCTTGAGGTTATCTTGAGATGATTTCGGGGCTTTTTAGTGTCCCCGCGGCCCGGTCCTCGACCAGGCCTCCACCCCCAGGAAGCAGCCCGTGACAGCTGACTAACACCCAGGTACCTATTTTACTTCTAAGTAACAGGGGGCATAGGGTGAAAGAAACTCTGCTCATTGTTTCTCGCCGGCGCTGGGATCGAACCCAGGATCACAAGTCCAGCGTGCTGTCCGCTCGGCCGACCGGCTCCCTCAGAGAGTAGCTCAAATGGCCGTCGCCATTGTACACAACATCTAGACACAATGATGAGTTCGATTCCCGATGTCATATATAATAATTTAATCAATTTTTTTTACAATATTGACGTGATTACTGCATCACTTATTACCTCTTATCTACGGTTAATGCTGGTGGTGAATTAACGGTTCTAGATGGTAATTGTGCTGTTATTGCGATCTTAACTATCAGAGTTGTTTTGTGTTCTATGTGTTCGTTCACCAGAAGGCCACGAACACCACACAACACTAATGCAAAAGTTTGCAACACTTACGAACCTGGGGCCAGATTCACGAAGCAGTTACGCAAGCACTTACGAACGTGTACATCTTTCTTCAATCTTTGACGGCTTTGGTTACATTTATTAAACAGTTTACAAGCATGAAAACTTGCCAATCAACTGTTGTTATTGTTATAAACAGCCTTCTGGTGCTTCGGAGCTCATTAACTGTTTAATAATTGTAAACAAAGCCGCCAAAGATTGAGAAAAGATGGACAGGTTCGTAAGTGCTTGCGTAACTGCTTCGTGAATCTGGCCCCCAGGTTCGTAAGTGTTTGAGTAACTGCTTCGTGAATCTGGCCCCAGGTTCGTAAGTGCTTGCGTAACTGCTTCGTGAATCTGGCCCCAGGTTCGTAAGTGCTTGCGTAACTGCTTCGTGAATCTGGCCCCTGGCCTCTACTCCAAGCTTCTTAAAGGAGACATCAAAAGCTGCCAACACCTCCTTCAATTCCTCACTGCTTAATTAACCTAATTGACTGTGAAGCAGGAACCAGCCAATTAGTAAAGAGTTTAAGAAAGAAGACATCCATATTTAATTGAAGAGGGATAGATGTACTTTAAGTGTGTATTAATTCAACCCAATTGAGGAACATAATATTATGTTATCCCATATATACTGTGTTCCTGTCTTCAAGCTATGTCCATTCCTTTCCAGCGGCCGACCCCAGTGACAGTAAACATCAGTTTTAATATGTTCATTGAAAATAGGAATTTTCTCAAATATTTTGAATATTATATGGTATATTGTGCATCTTTAGGATTAGGTTAGGTTAGGTTAGGTTACGACATGGTTAAATGTCGTAAGGTTGGTAGTGTTGTAGTGGAGAAGGGGGGGGGAGAGGGGGGTTTTAGAGGGAGTCAGGTATGTGCGGGGGCACATATATACACATGTGTATATATCTGTCATAAGGCTCTCATCAGTCTCAAAAACCGACTCACACACATATCTGAAATTCTGAAAGTTTTTGGGTGACCGCGAGGGGTCTCGTGGCCCACCTGGCAAGATGGGCCAGATGGGCCAGATGGGCCAGGCCCACACATTGGCTTTTTATCTAATGGCTTCTGGCTCCTGTGCTCAGCCGCATAAGAAAACTCTATATTACTCTTTTTACTAAGTTCTTTAATGTCCATTTTCCCCCTACGTTAAAGCCTTTCGTCAATTCTACTTACAATTCTAATGGGAGCCGGTCGGCCGAGCGGACAGCACACTGGACTTGTGATCCTGTGGTCCTGGGTTCGATCCCAGGCGCCGGCGAGAAACAATGGGCAGAGTTTCTTTCACCCTATGCCCCCTGTTACCTAGCAGTAAAATAGGTACCTGGGTGTTAGTCAGCTGTCACGGGCTGCTTCCTGGGGGTGGAGGCCTGGTCGAGGACCGGGCCGCGGGGACACTAAAGCCCCGAAATCATCTCAAGATAACCTCAAGATAACCACCCTATGCCCCCTGTTACCTAGCAGTAAAATAGGTACCTGGGTGTTAGTCAGCTGTCACAAAATGATTCTCAAAATGTTCTCAGTCCAGGAAGCAGCAGCATCACTCAGACGCAGCATAGCCTCTGGATGCTGCATCTCCCTTCCTCTCCCGGACGTCAGCTTTAATGAGGTGACTGGGAGATGATTCCTGCGTGTCGATGGATGCTGAGGGCTCCAAGATTCATGTGAACGGCACAATGATCTTAAACCTGGACTTGTTGGTCAGGAAAAGATGTTTTTTTAACTTCAACTCACATAAGTGCCAGGTAAGGAGAATTTCTATAGTTCTTCTGAATCATTTTTAAGAGATGCTGACTTACACCTGAGTCATCTCCAAGGGATGCTGACTTTCCTCTATCTCCAAGGATCTTGACTTTCCTCTAAGTCATCTCCAAGGGATGCTGACTTTCCTCTCAGTCATCTCCAAGAGATCTTGACTTTCCTCTAAGTCATCTCCAAGAGATGCTGACTTTCTCCTGAGTCAGCATCTCTTGGCAATCACTTGGGCTGGACGGTAGAGCGACGGTCTCGCTTCATGCAGGTCGGCGTTCAATCCCCCGAGACCGTCCACAAGTGCTTGGGGCACCATTCCTTTCCCCCCGTCCCATCCCAAATATCCTGACCCCTTCCCAGTGCTATATAGTCATAATGGCTTGACGCTTACCACCCCCCCCCCCCTGATAGTCCCTTCAAAAACGTAAAAAACTCGACCTATTAGAAGGAACTGTTTGTAATGGCCTCTAGGATCCTAGATCAAAGAGTTGACATATTGTTATGTTGGCAGTTTGCCCTCGTTACTAACGAGGGGTCTCATTAGTGGCACACAGCGCCGTGGTCATTAGGCTTAGTGGATTGTTGTTGTTGTAGCTAGTCAAAACGAAGTGTCCATGTAGCACGGGCTATGGCGAGCCCCGTAATGGAATGAGTCGCGATGGAGTGCTGTTATTGTGGTGTGGGGGGGGGGGTGTTGCCCCCCCTGCCTCAACATCCCTTACTAAGCCTTAATTGCCAATTGGGGTTAAAGGTAATGAGTCAACTACCCCCTTGCAAAGTGGATTAACAGACTGTGCTGAAGTATAGTCAGCAGTCTTGGTTCTGTGAAGAGTGGCATCCACTAATGTGTACTCATCTATTTGTGCTTGCGGGGGTTGAGCTCTGGCTCTTTGGTCCCGCCTCTCAACTGTCAGTCAACTAGTGTGTGTGGGCGGCATATGTAGCACTATATGTATATGGAAGGCATATGTGAGTACCAACTGAGTACATGGAAGGCATATGTGAGTACCAACTGAGTACATGGAAGGCATATGTGAGTACCAACTGAGTACATGGAAGGCATATGTGAGTACCAACTGAGTACATGGAAGGCATATGTGAGTACCAACTGAGTACATGGAAGGCATATGTGAGTACCAACTGAGTACATGGAAGGCATATGTGAGTACCAACTGAGTACATGGAAGGCATATGTGAGTACCAACTGAGTACATGGAAGGCATATGTGAGTACCAACTGAGTACATGGAAGGCATATGTGAGTACCAACTGAGTACATGGAAGGCATATGTGAGTACCAACTGAGTACATGGAAGGCATATGTGAGTACCAACTGAGTACATGGAAGGCATATGTGAGTACCAACTGAGTACATGGAAGGCATATGTGAGTACCAACTGAGTACATGGAAGGCATATGTGAGTACCAACTGAGTACATGGAAGGCATATGTGAGTACCAACTGAGTACATGGAAGGCATATAAGAGTACCAAAAGAGTATACTAGAGCAGTAACCAAGACTCACCTCTGCGTATCGTCGGCGTGGGAGCTCCGAAGTAGCTGTCTGAAGCGCTCTCGAGGAGTCCTACCATCCTCCCCCTCCAGGACCTCGGAGCGCGCACGCTGAAGGAACTCATTAATCCTGGTGAGCGTCGACGACCGCCGCAGGGAATCCAGGGACATACGGGCGTGAGATCCGCCGTAGTCGGCGCCCAGAGTGTGTCGACTGTCACCTGAGGGCTTCGTGATGCCATTGGCATCATCCCTCGTCACGTCCGACTCCGACAGGCTCTGCGTTTCCACTATTTTCGGTATATCGAAGCTATCCTTGCTATCCTTATCTGCGGTGAGTGCCCCAGAGGCGCCATTAACGTATTCCGGAGGGTCGGGTCGCTGCCAGACTGGTAGATCCTCCTGGCCGTAGCCTGGTAGCAATACCGCTCGTCTGGGGTCAATAAGAGGGGCTATCACCTCTTTACTCTCAGCTCTCAGATCACTAGTGCTGTAATGTCGTCTGTGGGAGCTGTGAGTGTCTGTGTGGCCGGCCCACAGCGGCAGGACATTCTCACTATCTCCCTCGACGTATACTCCGCCGTCGATAAATTCCAGGTCTTCCAGGGAGTCGTAGCCCTCCTCTAGCAGCCACGGCAGCTTGTGAAATGGGTGCTGGAATTCTCTAGGCATTGTGGCGAGAGACGCCCACAGGCGAAGGTTAAAGGGTTTAATAGTGCAGTAGTTTGAGGGGTCGCTGACGCAGGCTGGTCGGGGCCGCCTGCCGTGTGCACTGCTTACTCCTCATCTCACATGTTCCTCTTCACTTAACACGCTGCTTCAAGCCACCAACCGCCCCAGCGATACATCCATAAAATCTGAAATTCAAAAAATACGAAAATACAATTAATACATTATTATTATAAATTATACAAAGCGCTATTACATATCAAATATGTTAAACTTCACGGCCTTCCTACCTGATTAAAAAAATATACACAGTTGAGAGGAATTAACTTGAAATTGGGTCATTAGGAATGGCCAAATTTTATTAGGTTAGCCTATTTATCTTAAGACGCAATTAAGAGATATTTAAAGCATCTTAGAATTTGGAAAATATTACAAGTTTGAACAAATATTGAAGCTATTGATGTACTCTAACCCGTAGCAATGGTCTCAACCCAGACACACGCACAACCCACTGAACCACGATGAGCTTACAAGCATCCCCTTTACCGTCTAGAAGATTCTCAGGCAGTTTAGAAGGCACCACAGCTAAAGCTTTACGACACACCTGCCAACACTCAGGGATGGGGTAATGGTTCCATCTCCCACACCTGCCAAACTTACCACCCAAAACACTAGGGCAAAATTGCCTAGAAAACCTCAGTCATGCAGGCGATGAGTCACAATAACGGGGCTGAAGTATGTTGATCAGACCACACACTAGAAGGTGAAGGGACGACGACGTTTCGGTCCGTCCTGAACCATTCTCAAGTCGACTTGAGAATGGTCCAGGACGGACCGAAACGTCGTCGTCCTTTCACTTTCTATTGTGTGGTCTGGTCAACAAGCCTGAGTCATTTTTGCTTTGAGTTATTGCTTAACGTGAGTCTAGTTCTTCAGGGAGGACACTAAGGCGAACTTTGAATTTAGAGGGACTCCAAGAGTCTAATTTATTATTTTTTATTACACACTCACACACTCACACACACACACACACACACACACACACACACACACACACACACACACACACACACACACACACACACACACACAAACACACACACACACACACACACACACACACACACACACACACACACACACACACACACACACACACACACACACACACACACACACACACACACACACACACACACACACACACACACACACACACACACACACACACACACATACACACACACACACACACACACACACACACACACACACACACACACACACACACACACGCGCGCGCGCGCGCACACCCTATAAAGCACACACACCCTAGATAAAGACAGGCTATTTAACACAAGGGGCACACGCACTAGGGGACACAGGTGGAAATTGAGTGCCCAAATGAGCCACAGAGACGTTAGAAAAAAAATTTCAGTGTCAGAGTGGTTGACAAATGGAATGCATTAGGCAGTGATGTGGTGGAGGCTGACTCCATACACAGTTTCAAGTGTAGATATGATAAGAGCCCAATAGGCTCAGGAACCTGTACACCAGTTGATTGACAGTTGAGAGGCGGGACCAAAGAGCCAGAGCTCAACCCCCGCAAACACAATTAGGTAAGTATAATTAGGTAAGTACCTCATACCTCCCTCATACCTCTCTCTCTCTCTCTCTCTCTCTCTCTCTCTCTCTCTCTCTCTCTCTCTCTCTCTCTCTCTCTCTCTCTCTCTCTCTCATCTCCACCGACCCCATGAAGCCCACTCCGACAGTCCTCTCAATGCTACGGTTTTACCTCTACCGGATTAATATGCAATTAACCTTCATTCCGCTATTGACTTCAGTGCTAAGTTCGCCTGTAAGAAATATTCCGCCAGCTGATTCCTGATTCCTTCAGCTTTGTAATACACGCTTAGTGTATCGAACCTTTGAATCATGTCAAGGTGTAGCTGTTTTGAATTCACGTCCATTGTTAATTGTGCAACCCGTTCTCGCACTTTCTTACAGTCAATATTGACTTATTAAATACGTGAATATGTGACATACTAAACATACTAGTTTACCTTGAAAAGCTTCATAGAAAACACCGACCTTACCTAACCTTCTTAGTATGTTAAGATAAGCATCTTATTGCTTCGTAATTACAATTATTACTTAACCTATTATAGGTATAGGTTAAGTAAGTAGTAATTATTACTTAACCTATTACAGGTATAGGTTAAGTAATAATTGTAATTACGAAGCAATAAGATGCTTATCTTAACATACTAAGAAGGTTAGGTAAGGTCGGTGTTTTCTATGAAGCTTTTCAAGGTAAACTAGTATGTTTAGTATGTCACATATGCACGTATTTAATAAGTCAATATTGACTATACGAAAGTGCGAGAACGGGTTGAATTGTGGGAGCGACTCAAGCACCACACAAGAATGTGGGGCGGCCCGCCACACTCTTGTTAGTCGGCGTTCAATCCCCCGAGACCGTCCACAAGTGGTTGGGCACCATTCCTTTCCCACCGTCCCATCCCAAATCCTTATCCTGGCCCCTTCCCAGTGCTATATAGTCGTAATGGTTTGGTGATCTCTGATAATTCCCTTCCCTTCTTCTTTAGTGCTTTTTAAAATAACAAGCTAAGGTGATTATCAGGAAATATGAGGAGAAGGAATTAAAACAGAACGCAGGAAATGAACGATGTCAAACCCCTTGGACAGTCGGGGATTGAACGCTGCCCTGCAAGAACGGACACCGTCGCTCTACCGACCATAACATGCCTAACCTTTCAATATATTCCCCCTGGCCTGGCTCTTGAAATAACGTGATTATAAATCAGAGACATCTCTATGTTCTGTATCACCTACTGAGCAAACATGTCTCCTCAGCAGGAGCCTAGGCCATCATTACATTGTGGATTACCTCTCCTTGTTACCATCCCTCTATAACAACTATCCCTTTATAACAACCAGAAATCTACTTTTTATTCTTCTCCTTACAAGACGATATAGTTATCTTAAAATGCTAAGAACGAATAGGTTGTTAGTTTAGGTGTAATTACTTCGTCTTGAGGTTCAACACCTTCTAATTTATCTGTGTCATTTCTTCGTGTAATGCACTCAAAACTGCACGCAATATTTGCGTGCGGGACTAGCAATATTTGCGTGCGGGAATCGTACGGTGAAAAGGTCTCTCAAATTGACAGTGTAATCACCTTCTAATGAGGCATTCTAATGGCTTTCTCTGCAGCTTTGGTGGATTGCTTAGTGGGCTGCAGGGCCTTTGTCACTCTCGCGTTCTGTCTCTGTTCATTCACTCTTGCGTTCTCTCTGTTCATTTACTCTTGCGTTCTCTATTCATTCATTCTCGCGTTCTCTCTATTCATTTATTCTCGCGTTCTCTCTATTCATTTATTCTCGCGCTCTCTCTGTTTATTCACTTTCGCGTTCTCTATTCATTCACTCTCGCGTTCTCTCTATTCATTCATTCTCGCGTTCTCTCTATTCATTCACTCTCAGGTTCTCTCTCTTTCATTCACTCTCACGTCTCTATCTTCACTCTCATCAACTCTGCGTTATTCATCCACCAACGAGCCTTATCATAATTGATGCTTCCAGTGCGTTCAATCCCCCGAGACCGTCCACAAGTGGTTGGGCACCATTCCTTTCCCACCGTCCCATCCCAAATCCTTATCCTGACCCTTTCCCAGTGCTATATAGTCGTAATGGCTTGGCGCTTTCCCCCCTGATAGTTCCCTCCCATGCGGGAATGAGGTTGTTATTGTTGTTGTTCAAGATTCGCTACTAGGAACAAAAAGTTCCAAGTAGCACGGGCTATGGTGATCCCGTAGCATGATCAGGCATGAGGTTACCACTCCTTGTATCTTTCCCCTTCAATAGAATGTTGAAATATTCAGTTCAATCCTACCCAATCGCTTCTACCAGTCTCAGGCACAGTGCTACAAGGCAGCTTGTAGAGCCACGGCACTCAAGAGCCACACCCACAGAGCCACGCCCATAGAGCCACGGCACTCAGAGCCACGGCACTCAGAACCACGGCACATAGAGCCACGGCACTCAGGGCCACGGCACATAGAGCCACGCCCCCACAGAGCCACGCCCCACAGAGCCACGCCCCCACAGAGCCACGCCCCACAGAGCCATGCCCACAGAGCCACGCCCACAGAGCCACGCCCACAGAGCCACGCTCACAGAGCCACACCCACAGAGCCACGCCCACAGAGCCACACCCACAGAGCCACGCTCACAGAGCCACGCCCACAGAGCCACGCCCCCAGAGCCACGCCCACAGAGCCACGCCCACAGAGCCACGCCCACAGAGCCACGCTCACAGAGCCACGCTCACAGAGCCACACCCACAGAGCCACGCCCACAGAGCCACGCTCACAGAGCCACGCCCACAGAGCCACGCTCACAGAGCCACGCCCACAGAGCCACGCCCACAAAGCCACGCCCACAGAGCCACGCTCACAGAGCCACACCCACAGAGCCACGCCCACAGAGCCACGCCCCACAGAGCCACGCCCACAGAGCCACACCCACAGAGCCACTCCCACAGAGCCACGCCCACAGAGCCACGCCCACAGAGCCACGCCCACAGAGCCACGCCCATAGAGCCACGGCACTCAGAACCACGGCACATAGAGCCACGCCCACAGAGCCACGCCCCCACAGAGCCACGCTCACAGAGCCACGCCCACAGAGCCACGCTCACAGAGCCACGCCCACAGAGCCACGCCCATAG